TTAACCCTATCATATCAAGCAGGACTTGGTAAAAAAAATAATAAAAAAGCCCAGTTCCTATGAAGGTACATATTGAATCAACTCCGTGATTATTTCTCTTCAAGGGGAATTCTATTTAAACTCTTTCACTATAACCAATCAAAGTGACACTATGCCTTGTATGTAACACTATACACTTACACATCTCAGTCATGTGTATTTGAGCAAGGAAACCCTGGCGTCCTTCCAATGAGCCAGACAGGTTCTTTCCACATCAGTTCTATGAAAGTTGTGGGTGAATTAATATGGCAGTGAAGTACGGAAACCACCTACAAGCCCCAAATGAAATCCCTGTAATTCATTGTATTAAATGTTTAGAGATGAAATCCAGCACACAGAGAATTGAACTGGCATGACAATCTTTTCCAGTTAGTGTGGCTCATAATAAAAGGGTGTAATGATGGGTGTGCAGAGGTTTGGTTGGCATAAATAAACGGCATGGTACTTAGATAGGAGTACTCATGACATTTTCCCAATCTGGATTTTCTTCCAGGCTTCAGAGGCCGTGAATATGCAGGAGTCAATGATGCCGGCCACTGTGAACGTCCCACCGATGATAGCGCAAATCTGACCGAGACAAAGTCAACATGTATATCATTAGGGAGAGAGAGAGACCGCGAGAGAAAGAGAAAGCTATAAACACAGAGAGCGACTCACAGTAGTGATGAAGCGGTAGAACGGCTGTCTCCTCTCGGTGTATTTCACGGTGATTGGACTCAGGTCATAGCGAAACCATATCGCCGGGATGATGCGTCCCGTATGGCTATATGCCACATACTCCTAGAAAACAACCCAACAAATAGAACTTTTGGTCACACTTTAGCTTGGGGACCAATTCTCACTATTAATTAACTATTAACTATGAATAAACTCCTAATTTGCTGCTTATTAATAGTAAGCTAGTTGTTTAGTGTAGGTATGGGGTCGGATTGAGTGATCTAAAATAGAGTCATGCAGAATAAGACATTAATATGTGCTTTATAAACACTAATAAACAGCCAATATGCATGCCAATAAGCAAATAGTTAATAGCGAGAATTGGTCACTGAACAAGCTTTTTCCATTTTCATGCGTAATAAAAGATCAACATTACAATAGTATCTATCATTGAATTAGTAAATAACCATACAGTAATGCTCAACTAATGTTCATTAGTATACTGCACTATATTCTAGTACTGTTTAAACTGAATACATGTGTTCTTCAAGAGGTGGAAATTCATTCTCTTTATAGGGGAACAGATTTTTAACAGTGGAATTCCTGGTGAAAAACTACATTACCCATGATTCTGCAGAGAAATCTAAACCAATCAGAGACCTGAAATGATCAAACCAGGCCAAAGAGCTACACCCACTCCCATGAGGCACTGTAAATGATGTCTCCCTACACTAGCAAACTACTTAAATATTTGAATATGCATATTTTGCAATAGACCTAATATATATATATATATATATATATATATATATATATATATATATTAAATCAACAATTTAATACTACTCAATAGTTTTTAATTTGATTATGTCATGTCACAAAACTTCATGGGGTTGCATTTCTTTCCCTCAATAAAGTTAAGTGCACAACAAACTTGTACCTTTTGTCTTTCTGTCCCATTTTCAAATAATTGTTTGCTTCTTTAATTGTTTGAACTGTATAAATGCATACAGTTCTGTGTTGTTTTCCTTCATATTACTTATAATAAATCATACAGAATTGTATGTGAAATAAAAAAAAATACATATTTCACAGCATGAATGCATTAGTGGAGATGTGGGTGACCCCTGAAATCAGGTGTCAATTTATTAGGACAGAAATTAATACATTACTTTTTATTTGGTTTTAATTAATAATTATTTAAGTTAAAATATTATGAATATGATAAAAAAAAAATTATGTAAAACCAACAAGGAAAAAAAAAAATTTAAAAGCAGCCTAATTGTGTAAGGATAAAACCCTCATAGTCAAGTCAAATCTCCAGTTTAAAACAGCCAATGTAAGCCATTTGGCCACAATTATGGCCTCATTGCTGATTAAAAAGCAGTCTTTGGCCAACAAGCAATATGTATAATAAGACCAAAGTTGACCTGAATTTGGACAGCGTTGACAATTACAACAACTATATGCATATGAATATCAAATCAGTTGCTGCTGAACACTTTCAGACTTTCTGTTTCACACCAGGTGTCAGAACAAGGGTTTGACACTACACTCATACTTTGAGTACTTTTCACACCCTCTGAATCAGAACAACCTGACTACATATTAACTCACAGCACATGGCCTTCTGGTCACGTACACACATAATGCCGCCAGCTGTCACTGCAAACGTCCCCTAAGTGTCTTTAGAGGTGATAAATGGTTGATGGTACTTAATAATAGAGAGACATAATTCATTCAGCATCTGTGGTAACCACAGGCTGATTTAAGAGCCATCAGCAAAGCGTATTCATATATTTAGACTCGCAACTTCACGCGAGCTTCTCAGTAACGTGGATGTGTGTGTCTCAGATTACCTTGTTTGCCACGGTGTATTGGTAGGAAAATCTCTGCTTCCCTCCCAGGTCCTCATAAACTGTAGGGACGATTTTGAGAATGTAATCGTGAGATGCTAAAGCTGAAGAAAAAGAAACACATGGCTTCATTTCTCTAGAAATTATACACAGATACAGATAAACAAACAAACAGGATGGTGGCTTATTTGATTTGAGTGACGTAGTTCTTTCTCCTGTTACTATGATCTATTTATGTGCTGTTTTGTAATACAATCTGTGTGACTTGTGTTCGGTTGGACGCTCATAAGCATTACACTTTGATGTCTCTCGGTTACATGAGTCCACAAATGAACAAGCGTAAGCAGTGTGTGCAGCAGTAATGCAGCAATAACAGTCCTGCTCATACTTAAAGGTTTGAACAACCTTCTACAGTAACTCATGTTACTTCCCCCCTACTAAGGACATGTATGATACTCAAAAAACATGGCTTAGGATTCTTAGGACTATCTGGGGCAAAAGATTTGATAAATGTTTTGGTAGTACAGTTAAGATCTGTTCACACCAAGGATGATAACTTTAACCATATGGTTATAATTATCATTCTACTTCTATGAGAATAGCAAAGTCCACACTATAGCACAGAGGATCAATATCGTTAGGATCAATATCGTTGGAATCACTTTCAGAACTATTTTTTTTTCCAGCTGATGAATCAAAAACATTGATAGCCAATTAGAATCCACTCAACCTTAAAGAGATTGAGCATTCGGACCGTCCCTCTAATCCTGCCTTGTCAGTTAGAAGATTTATTGCCATTTATACACAGTCATGAGGATTTGCAGGGGTCATCTATATGATATCATTTCCTTTTTATGTTTTTTTTCAGCATATTGATTGCACCTCATGACTTTTTTGGTTGCGCCACATGACTTTTATTTTTATTTGATCAAATATCACCAAGCAGTTAAGCAGTTCCGTTACAGTATATTTTATAAACAACAATTATAAACTAGTATAGTAACACTTTACAATAAGGTTTTATTGGTTAACATCATTTAACTACATTAGAAAACAAACTAATAATTGAAAATACTTCTAATGCAGTTAATAATATTAGTAAATGTTAATCTCAACCTTTACAATACATTATTAAAGCTTTATCTGTTAATATTATTTAAGGCCTAACATGAAGTAACAATGAATAGTTGTATTTTTAGCATTATATATTGCAAATGTAATGTTAGCACTTGTTAATAAGTACTTGAGATTAATAATGAATGTACTGTGCATTGTTAGTAAACGCATTAACTAACATAATGAAATAATGTGATCTTCTTATAAAGTGTTACCACCATAATGAGCCTTCCTCATTAGGATACCAGGGCAGTTGCATCACCCTGACATTTCTGACACAAATCGTACAGAAAAACGTACTGCGCCATGGTACAACAGTAATACCCATTCTCTCAAGAAAGAAACTCGTAGTCTTGAGCGCAAATGGAGAAAAACTAACTTGGAAGTTTTTAGAATTGCGTGGAAAAACAGTATGTCCAGCTATAGACAGGCTCTAAAAGCTGCCAGGGCCGAGCATATCCACAAACTCATAGAAAATAACCAAAACAATCCAAGGTTTTTATTTAGCACAGTGGCTAGATTAACAAATAACCAGATGCCACCCGATCTAAATATTCCCTCACAGTTTAATAGTAATGACTTTATGGATTTCTTCACTGATTAAATAGATAACATCCGAATTACAATAGCAAATGTAGATTCTACAGCATCTAATACTTCAGCTTCACAAATTAAATACACTCATCACTGAAGAGGTATATTCAAATCACTGTACATATGAATTGCATTGCACTGTACATATGAAACACTATTATATGTATATGTGTGTGTTTGTGTGTATATATATATATATATATATATATACACATACAAAAATAATTTAACATTTAATTTGCTCTTGTACACCAAGTATACAAAAATATGATATATTATTATACATACAAAAAAACTATGAGTGTGTGTGTGTGTGTGTATATATATATATATATACACACACACACACAAAAAAATACTTTTTTAACATTTCCTTTGCTTATGTACGCTATAGAGTAAGCGGCTAGAAATGAAGAAAGCTCACAAAAAGACATACCATTGGACTGAAGTCTGTTGGCTCCACCCAATGCATTAAAAGCCCCCCGGACATGCTGCACCTGCAATTGCGTGGCATGACAATGATTTCTACATGTTTATTTTACATTTCTATATTTCTAATTGACTGCATGTGGACTACCGACCTGAAGCTTCTCCCCAAAGGCGAGTTTGTGGATGATGTGGGTCATATCAGGGCTCTGAGGCTGAGCAGTCGCACTATGTGTTGACACATGAAAGTTTCCTGGAACCTACAGAAAACAGACAAAGTCAACACCATCATCAGACAGGCAAAGACATCAGATAGTACAATCTCCTTTCACTTGAGAGAAGGCTTTTCATTTGAAGACAAAAATGTTTTTTCCTTCAGTTAGCATGTGAATCTACAAGGACACTAATGACACTCCTGATAGCTTAAGTCCCACAAGAAACATTCAACTCCCAACAAGCAGAAAAGAATGCGACTAACATCAAGCATCTCTTACTTTATTAATACTGAACTCCCCTTCAAAGCGGCACCCGTGACCATTGTTTAGAGGCACTTTCATTGAATTCTCTATATGGCCCACTTCATGCCGCCCCATCTCATCCTGGATGTCCAAACCCACCACTATGTATATACAAATATATAGACACAACAGAAAATAGAAAAATACAGACAAATGGTGAGGACACAGAGCTTGAAACACCTTCATTTACATTGCATAAAAGGACACTTTTCAATAACAATAACAAAAAAAAATTAAATACAGTGCACAGCATAAATGAGTACACCCCCTATGATTAAATATAAAATATGTATTTTCTTAATGATCACAAATATAATTCATAGAAAGATGGCAAAATTGAAATGTATTAAACATATTCTTAATAAAAACAGGGAAATACATGCCATTAACATCTGTAAAATAATAAACTTAGCCAATTTTTGTTTAAATGAAGGATTGCAGAATTGAGCACAACCTAGATTTAATTCAACCAAGTGTAATATTCTAGAATTTCATATGTCCTCCATAACTCTAAGTACACTGCTCTGACACTTCTTGGCACTGAGTGTACAAGTTCATGACAAATGTTCACATCTGTGCTGTTTAACTCCTGGAGGACGACCTCCTTGAATGCCCTGGTCTTTAATGGGGAGTGTTGCTCAGCTCATCTCTACAGAATCTCTCACAGCAGCTCAAGAGTGTTAAGATTTAGTGAAATACATGTCCACTGAAGGATTTTCAACTCCGGAGAATGAATATCTTCATTGTCATGTTAAAAAAAATGCCCAACAATGCAGGGAATGAGAAGAGGGTAGCATCTTCGGTTTCAGGTTTTTGTATTACATCGCACAGTGGTGTGTGAATTCATGACAGCGTTGATAAAGTACAACTCAATGAGTTAAAAAAAAAAGTGTATAGAAAAAGTGTTTAGATAAAGTGTCACCCTTTTCACAGCTTTTGCCGGCTCTGAGACACTTTCAGTGTTTCTCCTGCTCTTTTTCTTGCAAAAACTCACTCATCACTAAATGAAAGCTTAAAGTGAAGACCTGATTATTTCAGGGGCTTTTCACAAGTCCATTGTTTTTTAATTTCTGTGGTACTTTGGCTATATTTTCACACTTAAAACAATAATTTGGTATTCCTCTTGTACCATTGTCTTCTTTTATGCTAAGAAATAAATCTTCTGACAGTTCTCTCTCAAGTGGTTTCATTGTTGTCAGCATTATGTCGGAGTATGATTCAGTGGGCTATATAACACTTAATTATCAAGAAATTACTTACCTCTAACAGTTTTGGTTCAACGTCTTTTTTTTTTTGTTTTATTTAGTAACTTTCAGGAGGGTGTACTCATTTTTGCAACACAACATTTTATCACTTTGATAAGAAAATGGTATTTTCTTGAATAATTTTAACATTCTTCTTTGGCCACTGATCAAGCAGACTTGCTGGAATATTATATCTCTAAAAAAAACATAACATGTCTTCTAAGCAAAGAGTAATTGCTGAATTTGTTAAGTTTCAGAGGGGGTGTACTTTATGCTGTGCACTGTACATAAGTAATCCTTTTCTCAAATGTTCTTGGTGTTTTCTGGAGCTTGACAGACTAACTGGCAAAGTCTTTTTTTTTTGGTGAACTATCCCAAATCTTCATACGTATGCAACATGTTCATGAGTTCAGTAGAATCATTATACACAACTGTTTTTGACTTTTCACAGCTAAGGAATAAAAAAACTCAGTAGTGTGACGTAGCAGATCTTCTGACACTGTGGTGTATGCTAAGAGCATGTTGTCACGTTGCCCAATGCTATTTTAAGACTGCCTTCCTAAATGGGCGAGAAAGCAACACTGACTCTTTACCCTTGTGAAGACGGGTATAATTACCATTCATGATCTCAAAAGTACAAAAAAAAAAAAAAGGCCAGCCAGAAAATGAAAGGAAGAATGATTCCATTAAACGCTTTCCAGTGTTTGACTATTTCCACTGAGCTAAACTACTGACGTTGCTCTGGTCGCTTATTACTTTTTGGACAGTTAAAGACTTAAACCATAACATCTTCTTTTTTTTCTTTTTTTTGGGATTAGATTCCAGTAAACTTCAAACACAGAATCTCGACTCATTATAGAGTAAATGTGTGAATAGAAACATTTAATTGCCTTTTTAAGCACAATCTGATGCGTGTCCAGAACACTAAAAGTCTTGCAACGTTTTCTTAGCACATGAGGGAAAAAGCATCCTCATTTTCCACATAAGCACACAAGTGTCGAAAGTCACGTTGCTACTTCAAGGAAACAATATGTATGCCTCTAAAAATAATTAATTTAGCACGGTAAGAGTAACAACATGGAAAGACCACATGTACTTTTGTTAAAAATCCTTTCCAAGTATAACATGATGTGGCATGTCATATGGCATGGATCAATTATCAGTTATTATGGAACAGATTTTAATGTTAAATGACTACTGATTAATTCGCAACATGTACTACTACTGCTCTTATTATTCTAACCAATTAGACATTTCATCTGGTAGATAATAAAATGAGCATGAACTAAAAAGCCCATTGATTTGCATTGAAGTAATAACTCCTTATTGAAGACTTACATCTGACTTCAGAGGGCCAGCATTAACCACCTAGCAACCAACCACAACACCTTAGAAACCTCTCAAGAATACATTACATGCTTATCAATCCCCTAAGAACCACCCTTAGCATCATGGAGGCAACTTTTTCAAGGGAAATAGCCACTCGCGTTCTTCAGAAAAGGTAAAACTTGACATCAACTGGTACTTCTTATAGTTGTTTGAAAACAGTACACTCATTATTGAGATCACAGTGAGGCTTGTCTCCATGACTCATAACAAAATCCGAAAAATTTGGGTTTCAGTCAGAAGTGCCTCATTTAAAAGAAAATGTGTCTTCCATAATAGGCATAACCTCTTGTTTCTCACCAATGAGAACTGCCCAAGATGTTGTTCTGAACATAGTTTGGGCTCTGTGTAATGTGTGTGAAACAGCCAGTTGCAAATGTCTTTGCAAACATTTGAGGATCTGCCCGAAAATGACATCAGAGGTGACCACAATTCCTCTGAGGGTGCTGATATTTAGAAACACAATCTTTAAGGCACTTTCCAAATGAATTTTAACATTTTTTCTTTTAATTTGGTCAAAAAACAGCAAGGGATATTGGTTATGCTTGGCAAAACTCATCACTGGACCTATCGTTCAATGATCCTAATTAGTGCTTGGTGATGCATCTAAAAATCTCAATATTTTGAGATTATTCAATTTATTCAGTTTATTCAATCAAAACAGTCACCTTCAAAATATTTAGATATTGGATGCATCTAAACTACAGTAAAAATCTGCATATAATCAATTACCACACTTTTTACTAAATAAACATAAGGAAGAACTTTTCACCATTTTCAGTTAAATGTTTCCTCATTTTATCTCACTAGTAAAGTAATTTGATACACTGCCCAGCCTTAATCTAAATAACTAGTGATCAACTATTGTCACAATATTCCAATGGTGACTTAAGAGTTGATCACTAGTTAAATAGGGCATGCGACTGAATCATTTACGAAAACATGACAAATCAGGTATTATTTGGCAAATACTTATGCACAGCATTACCAAATATGAAACCGTATTTCCTCATACGCTTGCTCATGTCTGATCATACATTTTCCCGGTGAGTTTCAAAAGATTGGGTTTGACTGACGGATAGGTCTATCCTAATCCTTCTGTGAGAAAGCACACACAATGTGTCAAACTGAGACTTTCAGTGATGGTAAACTGTGTGGGAGGTCGCCATTGTGCATCGTTTCCTATCACAATGTACGTCAGGAGCTCTGCTAAATGAATTAAGAACCCATACTAACAGTAATGTCACTGCTAACACTCATAACATGTCAACAAAGGATGATGTGTTACACATGTGGATGAAAAAACATCATTCAGAAGAGTGTTGATGTATTTTATGTATATACTCACAATCACAGTGTAAGTTTGGCAAACTGATGTTTAAACTCACATCTATCTTCCCCCCACTGTCCTTATCGGGGTCATCCACATACAGTTCATTTACTCTGTAACACACACGCATATATGAAAACACAAACTTTAAATATAGTACTGACAAGCATTAGACATCTGTAAAGGTCATCGTCTAAAAATGATGCAAGCCTGACAGTAAAATGACAAAACTGCAGTGAGTGCAATTTTCGTTTCCTCACTTCCCCCACCAATGTCTACGTCCTGTGTGAAACTGATCTGTCACTAAAGTTACAACAGTGTGATTGCATTCGGGTCATAAAGTCATGCATCTTGAGTGCTGATAAAAAAAACACCCCAAAATACCATTTTAAACAAAACCGGAACATTTTTACTAACTATGAAAACGTCATATGGTCTAACCCAGGGCTGTCCAAACTCGGTCCTGGAGGGCCGGTGTCCAGCAGAGTTTAGCTCCAACTTGCCTCAACACACCTGACTGGAAGATTCTATGCCTAGTAAGACCTTGATTAGCTGGTTCAGGTGTGTTTAATTAGGGTTGGCGCTAAACTCTGCATGACACGGCCCTCCAGGACCGAGTTTGGACAGCCCTGGTCTAACCATTGCACTAAAATCAATGTACACTAATATAATTTTGGATTCAAAAATATCCTGACCTGTTCTTGAGGTTGTATTTATGATACCATCATCAGATTTTAAACTAGACTTTTTTCCGATTACGATCTTTGGACGGTTGGATCACTTAGACATTTTTGATTATAAACCAATTAATTGACAATTAATTTTAATTCAGAAATTAAAGACATTCAACGTAACATGCTTGTATGTTCTTGTAAGTCAGTGTCTATGTACATTGAATTTAATATATATATATATTTTTTTATTTAATACTATGTTTGACTGATTCAACTTCACGAGAACAACATTCATACGTACATTTCTGTAGCGATGAATCCCGTCAGTTCTGAGAGAAAGAGAAACAACATGAAGACGCAGCAGCATATTGAAACTGAGGGGATAAGAAAAGGTCAAGAAAACATTAGTGAGCTGTTTGTATAACAAAACTGGAGTTATATTGTGTGAAGATATTTATTCAAAGTAACATTTTCAGTTAAAGTGTTTGCTGAAAGTAACTCATTTTCAGAAATGTTCCTTTTTGTTAGCAGTGATTTCATTTCTTTAAATTATGCCTGACTATGCAAAATGACGTCAAGCATATATTAAAAGTCAAAGGGCCATTACATAAGAGTGTTCAACAGGCGAATAAATGTGCGTGGCTTTATTGCTCTGGTTAACGTAATCGTTACCAAGTTCAACATGTGACCAAATGAGTCAAACTGAGAGGCTGTCTGCAGAAGCTAGTGCATATTTACATGGAGACAGTCTCCAGTGACACTTCGGTCACGTGACTTTGTGGCTGACACGTCATACTCTGAGTCTGGTTTGTTCCAGTTTACTAAGCTAATGTTTAGCTATAACACAAACAATAAGGCGTGTCGCTATGACACATAGCTCACGGATTCAGGTTCAACATGGGTTATATCACTTGTTCCACTTTAATGAAGATAATACTGGGAAAGAATTATTAACACCTCCATGATATTATTATTATTATGTGTAAATGATTGCTTTTTCTTTTGGTTAACTGTATTGATATATTTATAACTACACTGAAAAGTTCTAAAAAGACTTGATTAAATCAGATGACGTTATCTTCTTTAAAAACAGGATGGATTAAATCATACAAATGATGCTATCTTCACTGAATACTAATTTTAGCTTATTGTCTGTTTCCCTTCCTATCTTTTTGTCAACTTGACAGAAAGGCAGAAAAGTTGATTAAACATCGATTTTTGTTTTGCTCATTGGTTTCATACAAAAAAACAGACAGATGCCGTTATCTTCATATATTTTAGATTTTTTTCCCCCCCTGTTGACTATAAGGAACTATTTTGTTAACTATAAGGAAAAGTCCATAAAATCAAACGATGTTCTCTTAGTAGACGTTCATTCTGAAAACATCTTAAAGGGATAGCTTACTATTTACTCACTCTCAAGTTGTTCCAAACCTGTATGAATTTCTTTCTTCAGCTGAACACAATAGAAGATATTTAATAGTATTTTTTTTTTCAATATCTTTGGTTAACCATTCTTTCAAATATCTTCTTTAATGTTCAACGGAAGAAATAAACTTATACAGGTTTGGAACAAATTAGTAAATGATGACAATTTTCATTTTGGGGTGAACTATCCCTTTAATACAACCACCCAACTTACAAACCATAGATATTTACCCTGGGTATGTGAGTTTAGGTTGAGTTTAGGGTTGGTCTACAGTTTTCTGCAAACATGACTAAATGGTAAGTAATTCACTCGAGGCCAAAACAACAATGGAAAGAGCCACAGGAACGAGTGTAGAATGACATAGTCCTACTACGTGAGTCAAACGGCAACACCTAGCATTACAAACATCCATCCTTCCGAATCATGAGTGAACGATGAGCCATAGTTAGGAAACTAAAACTGACTCAGCAAACTGGTTTGGAAAAATACAATTGTGGATCATCAAAGAAGGAATGTTGATGAGAGCAAACACAAAAATGAAGCACACAAATAAAGCGGCAATGCCAGATGAAGCAAGCTATTTGTTGACAGGAGTGGATGAGGGTCTATGATGGCAAATTAACATTATAAACTGTGGCACTCACTGAAAGCTCCAGTATACGTGGGCTGGGTAAGATCTTTGGGCACTTTCCTGTAGATATCGAACCTGGAAGGAAAAGAAAGAGAAGAATAAGGGGGAAAAAAGAAAGGTAAATATTGCATACTCCTGGGAAGAGTTCGAAAGCACATTGTGTTCCCAGTGTAGTTTAAGGCATTACAGAGGAGTTTAGGAATGTGAACTATGGGCCTCTGTCCATGAAACACCGGCCCAGACGCAACACTCTAGAGCGACCCCCGCTTCTTGAGTTACACCTCTTCCTCTGCATTCCTGCTTTACAATCCCAACCTTCCTCAACAACAACTTTCTTCATACAACAGTGTGGCTGAGGTCAGAGCAAAGGCTGTCAGCACTTACTAAATACACATCAATCACTGAGACAAGAGGGAAGGCAAACAAAGAACATTTCAAAACTATTGCTTAAAAAGGGCACTTCAGGCTATACTAAATATCAAAATAGTTAAGACATTTTTAAAATGAAATACATATGTGAAAGCACATTGTGTTCCCAGTGTAGTTTAAGGCATTACAGAGGAGTTTAGGAATGTGAACTATGGGCCTCTGTCCATGAAACACCGGCCCAGACGCAACACTCTAGAGCGACCCCCACTTCTTGAGTTACACCTCTTCCTCTGCATTCCTGCTTTACAATCCCAACCTTCCTCAACAACAACTTTCTTCATACAACAGTGTGGCTGAGGTCAGAGCAAAGGCTGTCAGCACTTACTAAATACACATCAATCACTGAGACAAGAGGGAAGGCAAACAAAGAACATTTCAAAACTATTGCTTAAAAAGGGCACTTCAGGCTATACTAAATATCAAAATAGTTAAGACATTTTTAAAATGAAATACATTTACTTGCAGTTTGCTGTTTTGGTTTTTGCTGCATTACTGTCACTTGATTTTTTTCCCCCTTTAACTTAAATTTAGTGAGGTTAAGCCTGAAACAAGTGAAAAATACCTACAAACAAACAAGACAACATAAGTACAAAACATATGTTTTGCTACTCCAAAGAATGTATATTGTTTTAATTATGTTTACATATTTTGTTCAGAAAAACAAGACAAAGATGATAGTGAGTCTCACTAAGAAACAATCAAGGTGATATTTCAGCCCCCATAAGGGAAGCAATTAAATAATACAATATTTTGAATAAATAAAAAAGTCAATTTTTCAGACAATTGAGATTTGGGGCAGAAATAGTTTATATATATATATATATATAGACATTATTTTCATGATAGTTATGCCCCTTCACCAAAAAATATTTCACATTTCATAATTTTCTGTGTTGAGGACTGACATTTGTTATTGATACGAATACACTGTTAACAAAAAATATAACGAAGTTAACAAATATAACTAGGGATGCACGATATTATCTGACCAATATCGGAAATGGCCGATAATGGCTTTAAAATGTAAATATCGGCATCGGCCCGATATGAAAAATTATGCCGATATGTCTTGCCGATAAGAAGAGTAACTCACATGTGTTCAGGGTGTGCTAGCGATTAGATCACGTCAGCATTGTGGCTCATTCTTGAAGCAAAGTTTTGCCTGAATGGCAACTGTTTTGGATCGCTGCATTTTAATTGAGAATGCACGTACAGAATGACACATTCGTTGTGTGATAGAGTAAACAGTAATAGCACGTGCAGCGGCAGCAGTGACAGCCTCCCCCGGGTCCTAAAGTTCGTTCAGTAAGGAGTTTTAATTCCGGCGCTGTTGGCTAGAGGTTGACCGATATGGGTTTTTCACTGGCCGATGCCGGTGCCGATATTTTGAAATCAGGGCAGCCGATGGCCGATATATGATGCCGATTTTTTTTTTTCCCCTTCATCTCATAAAAGTGAGTTTGAGTAAATGATTATTGCAGGGTACAAGATAGTAATAGTAGTAGTAGCAGCCTAATTCAGAGTTATAATTCATGGCTCAAAACTTAAGCACCTTCTCAAAACAGTTCTGAAGCATGCTTTTTGTTTATGTTTGCTGACAGACACCAGTGTTTCTCACAGACTTGCAAATGCAAATTCATTCTCTGCCAGCAGGAGGCGCTGTTGGAGCAGAGATATAGCGGTTTCCCCGGTAACGGCTGTAATCAAATAAGCGCTACTTTATCAGGCATTACAGGAAAGACGACATGAAAATGACATAGAAGCTTTTCTGAAGACGGTCAGTTCTTTTCAAAGATACATTCATATAAAAACACCCGCGCTGCATTTTAATTTTGAAACGTGCAGTGCTCAGTTTATTCAAGGAAGTATAAGCCTTTTGGAAAATCTATTTGTGGCGGTCTGTCTGTTGTGACGAGCCACCACAAATAACTCACTGTATGGGAAACACTGGACACTTCTATAAGTCAAATGGCCAAGTGATAACAAAAATAAAAGAGTTCACACACATATTACACAGCCTGCTGCTCTTAACTGCTTAAGAGTGCGCTGGCCACGAGCGATGACATCGTGGAGGCTATTGTCGGACCCACACACACATTTCATGAGGAAAGTTATCCTGCATGCAAATGACTTGCACTTATGAATATGATAACGCTCCGGCATCAATTCTAGTAGGG